ATAAGGAACTCAATAAGTCGAGAGGCGAAATGAGGAACGAAGGTATATGAGTCGTCGGACAACTGAATAGTACCATAAGCATGGTGAAAGCTATGTGACCGATGGATCGGCAGCCGAATGGGCTGGGGAAGGCAGTTGGCAAAGTGGTTGGCGAAAGAAATGAAACAAGAGAGTAAAGTTTATGACGAGGATAAGTTCCATGAGTGAAAAACCCAGAAGTAATAAACCTAGGAGACTTGCGGATTGGCTGAATCCAACAGGTGAAAGGAAAGTCCATTCATTAGTGGATAAGATTTATAAGGAGAAGAACTTGGAGATAGCTTGGGATAAAGTAAGGAGGAACAAGGGGTCTGGAGGAGTTGATGGTGTGAATATTAAGGAGTTTGAAAAGGATGTTGGGAAACATCTTACGCGACTCCATAATGAATTGCGCACCGGAGATTATCATCCTGCCCCTGTTCTTCAGTGCTCAATTCCCAAGGCTGGACAGCCGGGGAAAGTACGCTTTTTAGGCATACCAACGATCTATGATCGGGTGTGTCAACAAGCCATACTCAACCGTTTGGAAAGTATCTTCGAACCGGTATTTGATGATGCCAGCTTTGGATATCGAAGAGGAAGATTAACGAAGAGTGCACTTAAGAAAGTATGGTGTGAAATAGAAGAGGGTCACGAGTGGATCGTGGATGCAGATCTAAAGAATTTCTTTGGCTCGGCAGACCGTGAAAAGATCATGATCCTCCTCAACCAACAGATCGCAGATGGTAAAGTTCTGAATTTAATAAAGAGCATACTTGAAGCAGGATGTATGTTAGAAGATCGCCATATAAATGAGGATAAAGGAGTTTCCCAAGGCGGGAGCTTATCTCCCCTCATAAGCAACATCCTTCTGACTCCGTTTGATAGGGAAATGCGTCGTAAAGGATATAGATTGACGAGATACTCTGACGATTGGGTGATCACCTGTCGTACAAGGAGAGAAGCTGAATCGGCTTTACGATACGCGGAAAAAGTTCTGAACAAACTGGGAGTTAGGCTTCACTCAAAGAAAACGCGGATAGTCAATATTCGTAGAGGCTTTGAGTTCCTTGGATACAAGATCAAGCGAGGATCTAAGCCACTGAGATTGTCTAAAGATAAGATCAAGAGCAGGATTCACGCTGGTCAGCTTTATGTGTATCCAACACAGAAGTCTATCACTCATTTCAAGGAACAGATTCGCAAACGCACACGGCGTAAGGCTCCTTTATCTACAAAGGAGCTTATAGCTGAAATCAACCCAATCATTCGTGGATGGGGCAATTACTATAAGAAAGCCCATGTGCGCAAGCTCTTCAACCAACTTCGAGGGTGGATTGTCAGACGACTCTGGTCTTATCGTCACAAAAGGTGGCGAAACATAGGCTGGAAAAGAATGCCGGAATCCAAACTATACGGAGAATTTGGCCTGGTAAATCTCATCAGATTAATACCTTCAATTCACCCACGAAAGTAGCTTTGTGAAAGCGGTATGCGATCAAACTTCTTCTATATATACAGGGTGTCGACGCTCAGAAGTGACCACCTTGCAATGGAAGGATGTGCATTTGAAGGACAAGTACTTATATCTTCCAGACAGCAAAACGGGCGTAAAAACAGTATCCTTGAATGCGCGCGCCATTGAAGTGTTGAAAAACGTGGAAGAAGTTGCAGGCAATCCTTATGTCTTCC